TCTTTCCCTGATAGACAACCTATTCAGAATAATATTAAGGATTCAGTGCTTGGACCTTCCATGGGGAAAAAAAAATAAAGCAAAACATTCATGGAAGTCTTCTTTACTTCCTAGGAACAAGATGCAGGCTGTGTCATAGCTCTGTCTCAAAGTGCGGTGGAAGGAAGGAGATTATAATTTGCTCCTTCAATAGCGTCTAAATTCTCTCCCGTTCCACTTCCAAGTCTTAACACCCGGACTGCATTCCTCAGAAGTGCGATTTGTCTGTCTTGTAATTAGGCCTACAACAGGAGAAAAGCTTACGCTCAAACTTGACACCAGTCACTAAATTCTGGTGGGCAGGAATGGTATAGACACAACGCCGCTGTCGAAGGTCCCACACTTTGCAGGTGTTGTCACCACTGCCAGTTGCAACGTGGTAGCTGTGGATCAGATGTAGTACTGAAGTTAGAAACAAAGAGTACTTTCTGACCAATAACCCTCTCCACCCCTCACTAAGTGAGCTTATTTACCCATTGGGAGAGAAATTTATTCCATAGATTTCCTTCAGGTGACCTTCTAGGAACATGATGCAACGTCCTGTACGCAGGTCCCAAACTCGACCAAATGCATCTAGTCCCCTGATAAAATAATTTATGAATGAACATTTTGAATACAGTTCTCTGTGGAAGCAAGTATACTTAAGAGGTGAGACTACTGAGCTGCCCCCGCAACGTGGAAGAAGCCTTACCCAGTGCCAGCCAAAGAGCCATCTTGATGGAAGGCAATGTCATACACACCCATGCTGTGGCCTTCCTGATGCAGGATTTCCTCTTGAGCCTCCAAATCCCATAAGCGCCATGAACGGTCATAGCTAAAAAAGTCAAACTAACGATTAACGAGCAGATGTTCAGTTCCTACAATGTAAAAAGTGCTATAAACAGTTGTAGTTCAAGTTATGTTTTTGAAACTACTCATACGACCATATTAACAAACTCTTTTCTGGCATAAACAATGTCTCAACAACTAAGCATATCTGTCTTGGGTGCTAACTGGGAAACCATGGATCCTATAAACCTACTTCAGTAGCTATTTTATTTTATATTTATTTATTTTAAAACATTTATTTATTTATTTATTTATTGGCTGTGCTGGGTCTTCATTGTTGCAAGCGGGCTTTCTCTAGCTGCAGCGAGCGGGGGCTACTCTTCGTTGTGGTGCGCGGGCTTCTCATTGTGGTGGCTTCTCTTGTTGTGGAGCACAGGCTTTAGGTGCGCAAGCTTCAGTAGTTGTGGCACACGGGCTCAACAGTTGTGGCTCGTGGGCTCTAGAGCGCAGGCTCAGTAGTTGTGGCGCACAGGCTTAGTTGCTCTGCGGCACGTGGGATCTTCCCGGACCAGGGATCAAACTCGTGCCCCCTGCGTTGGCAGGTGGATTCTTAGCCAGTGCGCCACCAGGGAAGTCCCTTCAGTGGCTGTTTTTTTTTTTTTGCGGTACGTGGGCCTCTCACTGTTGTGGCCTCTCCCGTTGTGGAGCATAGGCTCCAGACGCGTAGGCTCAGCGGCCATGGCTCACGGGCCTAGCAGCTCCGCGGCATGTGGGATCTTCCCGGACCGGGGCACGAACCCATGTCCCCTGCATTGGCAGGTGGACTCTCAACCACTGCGCCACCAGGGAAGCCCGTCAGTGGCTGTTTTAAAAACAGAATTCCTTAGGATGGCCCAGCAAAGATTCTGTTGCCTTCTTTCTTCCTTTATTTCACTGTTATGTCCTTCCATTCACTGAGCATTTATTGGGTCCTAAACTGAATGTTGGGCATATAAAAATCAATCACAAACAAATAGATCAATAGAATAGAGAGTATAGAAATAGGCCCACATATACATGGTCAAATGATTTTCAATGAGGCCATCAAAGCAATTTCAATAGTGAAAGTCTCCTCCATAAATGATGGTAGAACTGTAATACATATGGAAATAAAGACAAAACAAACAAACAAAAACCCCTCAATAATAAAAATGGGCAAAGCACCTGGACACTGAACAAAAGAGAATATACAAATAGTCAATAAGCATATGACAAACTACTCAACACCAATAGTCATCAGAGTAATAAAAATTGAAACCATGAGATTTTACTACATACTTGCTAAACTGAGCAAAATGATAAGATTGATTAATGACAAATGTTGGCAAGGATGTGAAAAAAACCAGAATTCTGCGAATGTAAAATGGCACCAACACTATGGAAAACCACTTGGAAGTTTAAAAAAAGTTACACATACATCTACCCTATAACCTTGCAATTGCATTCCTAGGTATTTATTCAAGACAAAGGAAAGAAAAACACATCCACAAAAAGCATTGTACAAGAGTATTTATAGCAGCTTTATTCTGACTAGCCAGAAGCTGGAAACAGCCGAAGTGTCCATCAGTAGGAGAATGAATAAACAAACTGGCAGAGTTATACAATTGAATACTTCTCAGCAATAAAAAGAAATTACTGATACATGCAACGACATGAATGAATCTTAAAAATGTTATGCTGAGTAAAATAAGCCAAACAAAAAGAAGCCATATGAACAAAAATGAGTTCATAAACTATGAATAGGTAGAATTAATTTATGGTGACAGAAATCAGGTCAGTGGTTGCTTTGGAACAGGGAGTTGACTGGGAAAGGGCATAAGGGAACTTTCTGGCGTGATGCAAATGTTCTCTCTATTGACTAGTGTATGGCTATGAGCATAACTGATGCCATCTTGGGCCTGTACAGTTCTTCCTGTCCTTCTGCTGACCCTACCCAGAACTATACTGTGTGGTAAGTCACTTTCCTGTAGTCAAGGGCTTTGTAGTTAATAGATATTGTTTAATAATCATTAGGACCAGGTGGCCTCTATGCTCTGTTAGTCCTCCAACAATGATGAAGAGCTTTGCTGATATATTCCCAGCACCCACTAGTTACCCATTCTTCACTTAGGAATGTACTTCCTGTTTCCAAACACGTACCCCCATACCTTAGGTTAACTATAAAATTGCCTCAATGGTCTCTTGGGGGGTGCAGAGTGCAGCTGTGAATGCTTCTGGATTGCTGCCTGCCAGATCTCACCCTGTGAATATGTGACCCTATAATAAATGGATCCATTGGATATATGGAGCTGCTGGCCATGTTTTTCAATCTCAAGATGCCTTCTCAGTTTGGTGGGCACCTTCTGTTCCCTTGGACCTCCAACAACAGGGATGTGGGCCACATGAGTCTATGCATTTGTCAAGACTGACTGAATTACACACTGAAATCCATTCCATTGCATGTACATTGTATCTCAAAAAATTCTCTAACAGATTCTGGCCTCATTGAATTTGTAGAGCCAGAAAAGGAGACTGATTTGTAAGCAGAGAAATTACACTGTATAGCAAAAAACAAACAAACAAACAAAAAACACCTCTAGTATTGGCCAAGAAAGAGAAGAAAGAGGGAAAAACTCTAGTTTTCCGGGAGTCAGTGACTCTGAAATTTCAGATTAACTGCAATTTAAAACCAAATACGCTTAGCCCTAACTATGTCATATATTCTTTTCTGATTCTGATTTATTGAAGTCCAAGAAAATCTCTTGAAGATCTCTGCTCTAAAAATTTACTTGGCAGTTTAGCCATACAAGGTTAATAAGATGCCACAGGCCTGTATGGATAGAACAATAAGAGGATGGCTTACCAGGTGGTACCTAAGAAACGTCCTGATGGATGCCACATTACACGGGCCACACGCACTGTATGGCCTTCAATATCTGCCACTGGTTCATCACTGAAAAGGAATCAAATATATGTAAGTAAACTATTTTACAGTCCTGTAAATACTCATTGAATTTATTAACTGTTGAGCACATATACACCCAATTCTGCATGGTTTGACAGGCCAAATTGTAACTAAACCTGTAATTTGTTAAACTTTTAGGGCTAATGATAATTTAACTCACTCCCCAAGGTTATTATAAAAGCTTTGGGACTATTTCATGTGCCCACGGGGCAAAACTGCTCTTCAATAAACAGTCTATTTCAATTCACTATGTTAATAAACTCTTAATGCTATATCATTTGCTTAGAGAAAATTAAAGATATTTCAGTCTGACAAGCAAAATCAGCTCTCTACACCAAAGGAGTGTTGAGATTCTAGAAAGAAAACATACTTTGATAGAGATGCAAGGCTATATCAAAAAGTTTTGGTGCAAGTAGACTACAGATAAATTGATCTCAAACTTCAGCTTGTCCAAGGATCCACATGAAAAAAGGAACTCCCAAACAGAGGCTTAGTTTCCTTTTGGAGGCCATTAAATTCTACTACCAGCAACGACAGAAAGAAGGTCTGAACACCAGCAAGAAAAAATAAACATGAACCCTAAAGAGGGCAATTAAAAAGGGAACTTTGTCAATGTGCATACACAGAACTAATTAAAGCCCTAGGGGAACAAATATTGCTATGTATTACCAAAGCCAATTAAAACTTGCTGTGCTCACAGGTAAGATCTTGTCTGGCAAAGAGTGGAGACACTAACTAGCTCCTCACAAAATCCTGGAACAAAAGCCCCATGTGCTTTCCCAAAGAAAGAAAACTAAGCAACCGAATTCAGATATCTTTTAAGCAAACAAAGTGCTTCCAAAAATTTCTTGGAAAACAATAATCACAAACACATTAAAAAAAAAAACACTGTTGTAATTGGAAAATGTAGTCTAGGTAAAGGACGATGCTACTGGGAGCAGACATCACTTCCTTGGCAATACTGCCAGACAGACCCTCCTTCCTCTCCCCTGTGTTTGTTTGCTAAGAACCAATGTGCTGTCTAGAATATTATTTTTAGTCAAGCTACCAAATAGTACATTTCTCCAATGTCAATCTATTGCATGGGAGATATAATGGATCCTTCAAGAATAGCTGGAGTGGCTACTATGTTAGAGGCAAAAATCAAGGTACAAAGTTAACAAAGAAGGAAACCTGACACAACTCCTCTGGTGAGAAAAGGTCTAAGAAAAAAATCCTCCATTCTATTTTCACATAAGTTCCCTTGACTCAGAGCATCTCTGGGGTTAAATGTTAGATTTTTAAGTCCCAAGGGCCAACCAATCAACTATTTACTTTAGCGATTGCAGTGTGGACAGAGGGTAATATTCACCTGTCAAGGCTCCAAAGCTTCACAGAACCATCAGCAGCACAAGAGGCCAGATTGACATCTTTTTGGTCCAAGGAGACAGTGGATTTTGGATGGAATACAATTGCTCCCACATTTGTGTTATGGCCTGAAGGAGTGTAACAGATGAAAACTAAAGGGTTCCTGCTCCCTTATAACTTAAGTATAAATATATACATGACAAATATTATATATACACATATCAGAGGACATGTGGACCTAGACAGTATTAAAGTAGCTATTCAGGGCTTCCCTGGTGGTGCAGTGGTTGGGAGTCCGCCTGCCAATGCAGGGGACACGGGATCCTGCCCCGGTCCGGGAAGATCCCACATGCTGCGGATCGGCTGGGCCCGTGAGCAATGGCCGCTGAGCCTGCGCGTCCGGAGCCTGTGTTCCGCAACGGGAGAGGCCACGACAGTGAGAGGCCCACGTATCGCAAAAAAACCCCAATAAAGTAGTTATTCAACTACTAAAAAATTGAACTATTTTAACTTAAATTAACATATAAATTGCATTAAAAAAAGCTAAACACACAAAAAAATGTTTCTTGGTTTAGAGATTGTAAATGCCATAGTGAGGCTGGACATGAGAGAAAAGTGGTATGCGTATGAAGTCATTATCATCCAGCCCTGCAGTCAGAGAGAAAACCAAACCAAGTCAAACCAAATCAAGAATTAATCTGTGTGTACTGGGTCTGAGTGTCAGGCAGAGTTTTAGAGTTGTTTGGCTTGACAGAGTTTACACTGAGAAAAAGACTGATATTTAGACAAGATTCTAACTCACCTCGAAGAGTATGGAGGAGGTTGCAATCAGGAACAGACCAGAGCTTGCAAAGCCCACTCCTAACAAACACAAAGGAAAGCATCTCAGCCAGGGTTGGTCTGGGAAGGAAAAGGTACCTTGGTAACATTACTAAAGGACAATCTCTCTCACCTGCCCCCCTCCCAAAATGTTACAGTGGCAGACAGAAAAAGATACAGAAAAGGCTTATCATTTGAAGGGTTAGAGAAGAAAGCTACATCCAGGTCTCATGCAAACAGAGGCCTCTACTGGACTATAAATATTATAGCACAAGTTGCTCTTCTTAACTTTTGGATCAATTTCTGAGGGAAGGTAGGACAAATTAAACATTATTAACATTAATATTAATAATGATACTATCTTCTTAAATACGAATAGCATTTTGCTGCTTACCAAGTACTTTAAGTTTTTTTTGGTTTTTTTTTTTTGGCAGCACTGTGAAGCATGCGGGATCTTACTTCCCCAACCAGGGATCGAACCCGTGCCCCCTGAAGTGGAAGCACGGACTCTTAACCACTGGACTGCCAGGGAAGTCCCTAAAGTACTTAAATTTTTAAAAAAATGTTTTACTTTGGAAAATTTCCAACAAATTACTTTCATATCTATCATCAAATAATCCTTATAACAGACCTATGAGGTACATATAAGGCAGGAATGATCATTTCTACTTCATTATTTTTTTCTTATTTTATTTTTTGTAATTAATTTTTTTAATTGGAGTATAGTTGATTTACAACGTTGTGTTAGTTTCTGCTGTACAGCAAAGTGAGTCAGTTATACACATACTCATTTCTACTTTATAATGAAGGTAACTGAGGCTTGGAGAGGTGGAGGGATCTGTGTAGGTCCCTGGCTTTCTCCTGAACCACAGTCTCAATTTCTGCCTAGTCAAGTAGTTCTTGTGCGTACAATGCAAGCGAGTTTCCCCCTCACTAGATGACAATGTTCCTCAAGAACAACTAAGTAACTAAATAGAACAAAGCAACAAAGTTAGCACATATCCTAAGAGTTTTCTGCATATGTGGTGAGTAGAAAACAAAATGAAGATAAAAACAATAATTCAAGTTTACTGAGTCCTTACCACATACTAGGCACTATCAAGGCAAAATGTTTACAAACATTATCTCACCTTACTTTACAGATGACAAAAGTGAAGCTTACAGAGATTAAGTATCTTGCCTAGGTCACATAACCAAAAAAGAAAAGTTATATCAAGGTGTGTATACTAGTCTATAAGCTCACTGTCTGATCCAAAATGATGCTAATGCCAAGAATATGACTGACATGTCTTGGGTCTCTGGGGTACCTTGTGAACAGTAAGAACTACTAATTGAAGGCTATATTGTAAACTACAGTGGGTAACTACTAGCATCTCTAGTTTGGTGTGATCATGAGAAGCAGAGGCAAATGGTACTGAAATGGCCTTCTAAGAGAAATACTGATTTTTTCCCCTGAACCCCATTTAGGAAAAATGTCACTGTAAAATGGGACTTACCAACAAGCTGTGGCCAGCATTTTGGAATTGGGACTAAAGTGACAGTAGGAGATAGGCCGATCATCCCCAATCTGACTGCAGAAATTATTCAAAGACTTAAAAAAAGACAAACAAGGGATCATTAACAGGCTAACCCAAGACTTTCTTGGCTTTTCTACCATAAAAACAAAAACAAAAACAAAAAAAACCATTCCAGTTTTAAGCCACCCCAAGAACCTTCTGCCACCTTTTTGTTGTTGTTGTTAGGAGACACTTAGACCAATGAATGGAGTCAAGGCTTATCTGGAACTCCAGCATGCTGTCTTCTACAGTCTTAGTAACACTAGCTTCTATGTCAGCTAAATACAAACAGGAAGGCCATGGTGAGATCTAAAGTACAGTCTGACATATTAAAAGGGAGAATTAAGGAGTATACCCATAGGCCTCTGCCTGGTACAAAGCACAGTAGGTTCCCTGCCACCTTAACTGATGGTTCCTCCCAAATAGCAACAGTATAAGCAGAGAGGAATAAGTATAGCTGCCTTTACTTGCTAGAGGTGGGCCAAAGTAGAGCATCTATTAAATATTTAAGAATCTTTAAGATATTAGACAATTATATATATGAGAGCAGAGCATCTTATATATATAAGATGAGAGCACCTTACCCGGAGAGATTTGTGCAGTTCTTGCATCTGGGAGGTTCTCGTTGTCTCAGGAATCTCTTTATGAAGACGGGCCTCTTCCAAGCGTTTCATTGCCCTGTGACACAGAAATAACATTATTAACCCTGAGCAAATGGGTTGGAAACAAAGGTCCACACAAGTCTCTTTACCACTCAATTTCAATTAATAACCACAGTCATCATAAAGCACCTCCTCAGTCCTTGAGAGGAAATAAGAAAAAGTATGTTTCTTCCTCCTTCTCGAGGCTCTCCTTACCTGGGCAGTGAGTAATTAGCAATCCACAGTCTAGCAACCTTCAGGCTGTTTGGTCCTTCATGGTACCAGGTTTGCTGATACTGAAAGTTAAATTAAGAGCAGAAATGTCAAGTCTGAAGCATTCCTGCCCCTTTCATAGCTGTCAATTCCCTATTGTTAACTGCCCAGAAAAAAGATAAATTAGTTCAGTAATAGGATGAAATCAGGTATATGTGCTTTCTCTTGTGTTTCTTTCTATTAACTCTTATTGGATAGTTTCTGGTTACTTGTTAAAAGTGACACCAGGAATGCTATGGTTCTTTCCTGAATGGGGAACTCACTTATCTCCATTTATACTTACAAAGGAACCACAAACTATTGCCAACAACTATTCTGGAACAGTAGAGTCTCCAACTCCCCGTTCCCCATCCCACAGAAAACAGAAAATGAGAGAACTACCCCCTTGTTTCCTGCATGTTTATACTATGAAGCCAAAGACACATTTTACCTCTTCTTTGGACTTCTTTGATTTCTCATCATCTTTTCTGGTCTTTTTTAAGGCATCAGTACCGACCACTGAAAGGATATTTCTTAACCTGTAACAAAAAAAGATCAGAATTTAAACAGAGTTAAGACTGTGAAAAGTATACCTAAGAGGCAGCAAGCCTGCCCTACTCTCTCACCATTCAAATCCCAAGCAACCTTCTTTAAGTTGTGACGCCTAAACTTCCAGTGTGATTTCTCTCTCAGTAGTCTTTATCTGAAGATTCCCTAAATTGAACTAAAAGCAATTACCCTGTTAAACTTAGAGTCAACTAGCCCCAACACTGCTACCACTCGGGCTGTGGATACAGACAACCTTCACTCAATGCCACAATGTGCTGGATACTGCTCAGGTGCTAAGTATAAAAAATGACTAAGAGGGCTTCCCTGGTGGCGCAGTGGTTGAGAATCTGCCTGCCAATGCAGACAACACAGGTTCGAGCCCTGGTCTGGGAAAATCCCACATGCCATGGAGCAACTGGGCCCGTGAGCCACAATTACTGAGCCTGCGCGTCTGGAGCCTGTGCTCCGCAACAACAGAGGCCGCGATAGTGAGAGGCCTGCGCACCGCGATGAAGAGTGACCCCCACTTGCCACAACTAGAGAAAGCCCATGCACAGAAATGAAGACCCAACACAGCCATAAATAAATAAATAAATACATTGTGTATTATTAAAAAAAAAAAAAAAAAAAAAATGACTAAGAAACAGTCCTTGATTTCAAGTAGCATAGTGGGGGGTGAGGCAGTGGGGGGTGGACAGGACATATAGAAAGTATCGGGGAACTAGAGTACATTCCATTAAGCATTATGACAGTGGTAAGTGCATGGTGCTAAGGGAATCATAAAAGGAGTAAACAACCTAGGCTTGGAGGGAATCAGGGAAGGCTTCATGGAGAAGATGTTATCTGAACTGAGTCCTCAAGTAACCAAGTCAATGGGTCAAGAATGGGAAAGGACAGTTGAAGCAGAGGGTTCAACAAATGTAAAGGTCTGGAGGCAAGGAAAGCATGTTGAACTTGGAATCACAACAATTCAATATGGTTGGAGCACAGAGTACTGGGAAAGA